AATAAATACTACACCGAGCGCTGCCAGGCGCGCAAGGCGGCCATCGCCAAGACCATCCGCGAGGTCTGCAAGGTGGTCTCGGACGTGTTGAAGGAAGTGGAGGTGCAGGAGCCGCGCTTCATCAGCTCGCTGAGCGAGATCGATGCGCGCTACGAGGGGCTCGAGGTCATCTCGCCCACTGAGTTCGAGGTGGTGCTCTACCTCAACCAGATGGGCGTCTTCAACTTCGTGGACGACGGCTCGCTGCCTGGCTGCGCCGTGCTCAAGTTGAGCGACGGGCGCAAGCGGAGCATGTCCCTCTGGGTCGAGTTCATCACGGCGTCCGGCTACCTCTCCGCGCGCAAGATCCGCTCGCGCTTCCAGACGCTGGTGGCCCAGGCGGTGGACAAGTGCAGCTACCGGGACGTGGTCAAGATGATCGCGGACACCAGCGAGGTCAAGCTGCGCATCCGCGAGCGCTACGTGGTGCAGATCACGCCGGCGTTCAAGTGCACTGGGATCTGGCCTCGCAGCGCGGCGCAGTGGCCCATGCCTCACATCCCCTGGCCTGGCCCCAACCGTGTGGCCGAGGTCAAGGCCGAAGGGTTCAACTTGCTGTCCAAGGAGTGCTACTCGCTGACCGGCAAGCAGAGCTCGGCAGAGAGCGACGCCTGGGTGCTGCAGTTCGGGGAGGCGGAGAACCGGCTGCTGATGGGCGGCTGCCGGAACAAGTGTCTGTCGGTGCTGAAGACGCTGCGGGACCGCCACCTGGAGCTGCCGGGCCAGCCTCTCAACAACTACCACATGAAGACGCTGCTGCTGTACGAGTGCGAGAAGCACCCACGGGAAACGGACTGGGACGAGGCGTGCCTGGGCGACCGGCTCAACGGTATCCTCCTGCAGCTCATCTCCTGCCTGCAGTGCCGCCGCTGCCCCCACTACTTTCTGCCCAACCTCGACCTCTTCCAGGGCAAGCCCCACTCGGCCCTGGAGAGCGCTGCCAAGCAGACCTGGAGGTTGGCCAGGGAAATTCTCACCAATCCCAAAAGCCTGGACAAGCTATAGGGTGCTGGGGACCGCTTGAAAAGCGACGCAAACGGGCGTGCTCTCTCCTACCCACGGCACACAACTACTCAGCGACCAACAGAGCAAACTCCGGACTCTAACTTTTATGTAAGTCACCTGAAAGAAACCGGAATCCGCGAAGACCTCCGTCAATTACGAAGAGAGCAGACCAACGCCCCCACCCCCATCACATTCTTGCACAAAGTGATCGTTTTCTTCCAAACAATGTGAATTTAAAAGGTCACACAAAAGAAGCAATCGGTCTTTGCCACCACAAAATGAAACCCAAGGTACATTTTCAAATCAATGTATAGTAGCTTCCCCGTTCCTTCTTTTACCCCATTCTCTCTCTCTCTCTCTCTCTCTCTCTCTGGCTATCGCTAACTCATTTTGTTTTTGGTTGCCTGAATGTTGTCACCAAGTGAAAAATTTATTTAACTATATGTAAAAATTTCTCTTTAAAAAAAGTTTTACTGATGTTAAATGTATCTCAGTGCCAATGTCAGATGTGTCCCTCCCTCTCTTGCACCTTTACCCTCACCCTAAGCCGTCTTGTTGAAAACAGTAATAAAAATATGACTTTGCATTGTAATTGTTTGTGGATTGTTCTTAAATAAAGGCAGGTAAAATCAGTTTGTAATGTAAAGATGTGAAACTAAAGTAAGAGGTTTCCATCTGAACACTCATTTGCAAAATTTAAAAGACAGCACATGCAAAATTCACTCTACAAGTTCCCACTAAAAACACTACACAAAAAATACAGATTTCATGCAACTAAGATATTTATTTATTCTGTAGATTTCTAAGATTAAAAGTAGCATTTCACCCAAGAAGAAAGAAAACAGTATGGAAAAACAGATTTGATCCTAATCTTTATAAAAGAAATAAAAAAAGCTTGTTCACATAAAAATTAAGAGCTTTGCTTTCTTATGCCATAATTTAAAAAATCCAAGCTGAGTTTGAAATACAGAGGGAATACTTATGCATCTTTTCTGCATAGTTAAGGAAGGCAGTGGACACTTTTCCTTCAACAATCTACTCTCTTCAAGCTTTAATAGAAATTTGAAATTAACCACACCAAAAAAGAATAAAATGATTACAGCAATATTCTTCTCCCACAGCAAATGGTAATTTGAATAACTCAGATTTATAAATTATTTGTTTTAAAATGACTTAGTTAGCAATGCCCTATGATCACTGTTATCCAATTTCAAGAACTATTCTGAAATTTTTATATGCAATTCAAACAAAAAAGTTAATACCATTTTTATAATCAAAGAAAAATTATTGTCCTAAGACTATCAAATAGAAAAAATACCTTCCCTCCTCTCCTCTTCTCTTTGCTTTCCTTGGGCAATGATATAATACACTCATTTTAAAATTTCAACTTTAATGAAGGTTTCTTTTTAATGCAAGGAAATAACTGCTTGGAAAGAAATAATTAGTAAAACTGAAAGTGTCCCAAAGGAATTGGTTTGTCTTCTTTATGTTGGAGGTAACTACATACTCCATTAGTTATGCTAATTGGAGGCACAGGTACATAGTATACTAGACCCTTTAATATTTAAAATTTATTCTTTGCATTTGCCTAGTTTCTGACTTATTGACAAAAAAAATCTATAAATGAGAGATGTAGAGAAAAATGTTCTATGAAGCATTTTTAAAGATCGAAGGAACAAGTTTATTGGTGGGGGTGCAGTATGGAGGGATGAGCAGCAGGCTACCAGGGAAGGAAGAGAATGGAGGAAGTGCCTCCCAGTCTCCAGCCTATTTCACTTTACAGAACAGGTTAAGTTCTAAGATGCTTTGGTAAACATTCCCTGATAAAAACAATTCCATGTTAACCATATAAACTTTGATTTTATCAGTTCTGCAGTCATCTTTACCCTTTCAAACTATATTATATCTATTTTTCTGGTCTCTTTGTAGATGTAGAACAAACTCACCATAACACATAATACTAAGTGGTTGAGACAAACTCACTATTTTCTTAAAATAATAAGGACAAATTTATTCTCTGGATAAAAAGCTGAATTTTCAGAATATTATCAAAGCAAACAGTAGGCACTTATACTGCATGAAAAGATTTTTAAGGACACAGTATTTAGTTCCAAAGATAAAAATGACCATTTTTTATTCACAAAATTATTTACAACACTGCACACATACGTCTCTCGAATTATTTCAAGCAAAAAAGTTTTTTTAAGCCCAGACAAGAAAAAAAAAACACCTCCAATTCAGTATTTTTTACGCTTTCCTATTTAGTGCAATTATCACAGGAAAAAAAGGGAAAGATGAAAAACACTGCAACAAGACAAATGTCCTCATTTACAAAATACTGTAAATAACCTATGTCTATAGGAAATCAAAAATTCTTCCAATAGTTGGCTGAAAATTTTTAAAATATAAATTGGCAGGAGTTTTGATTTCTGAAATACTAGGCAGGTTGCAGAGGTAAAAGACAAATTCTATGATTAGGCTAAAAGATCTCCCTATTTCCCAAGCAACAGGGAAGATAATTAATTTAATGATGCTGCACAGAATAACAGAGAAACAAAAGTTATCACTTCTCTCAAAGGACCAAATATCTTCAAGGAACCAATATCAAAGACCGGTAGAGGTTTTGATTTTGAAAAGAATTCATTAGGCACCTTTAAATTAAATCTAATGTTTAGATTTTAAACAATGTGTATCCAGAAGTGTAATAGAATATTCTGAATTACATATCAACCTCCCTTAAATTCACAAACTATCAGAATAAACAGAGTTGATGTAATTTTGGTAACATTCCTTTCCTAATGAAATTAAAACATATACTCAGGCATTTCAGCCATGTAAAAAAGTAGAAAGATATTCTAATTTTCAGAATTAAAGTTTTCTCTACATGATATTGACTGACTTACCACGTTCAAAACAATCAGTTCCATCACAGCCTTTCTGTCACACAAAATCTACCCACGTTCTGTTCTCAGAAAGGTACCAATATTCAAACAAAGTACTAAAAACATGCATAAGACAAGAAATAATTTGTCTGCAAAGTTTTAAATTACAACATTTTCATGAAGAACTACCTTGAAATAATTCTAAATCATTAAAGTCTAATAATTCACTTATGATTATAAAACCAAAGAACCTACTACCAATAAACTCAGAATGTGTATGCATATGTATACACTATCAACCTGTAAAACAAATTATTCCATTATTCCAAGCCACATCTCTTCCCACAGATTGCTTGTTTTGCTCCTTTTAAAAGAAATTGTTTCCTCGAGAGCAAATTCCACCATTCACTTTCATGAAATAAACCTAATTTTGACTTTATGACTGCATTAAGAAACACAAATGCTTCTTAGTAAAAGTAAAGTTGCCAAGGTCTGAAAAGCAATCAGGAATACATTTTAAAGGGGAAATTACATTTTCATTTAATAATAGGAAATTATGCAGTGCCTTGTAAAACCTACGATAGGTAATGGGAAACAGAGGTATCTCATACACACACACACAAAACATGCGTGCATGCATGACAGAGTAGTAAGTCATGGGGACAAAGCAAGGAGAATGATATATTGGTATTATATCCAGAAAACATAAAGGCTAAACAAAATAATTCCACTCTCAATCTCCCTGAATTTTGTAGCTTAATTCACCCTGGACCCTTTGAGGCAAAATATATTTACAGATGATGTTTCCTGAGGTTCCACCCCCGCCCCCAATGAGCTAATGATAAATGCAATTAAGTGGAAATTGCTTTTGAATCTACATGAACTTCAATAATCTAACTAGCTGGATAGGGAAATCATAAGCTAAAAAAGATAACTACCTTGCATACAAGCAGAAACAATTCCTCAAGAAATTCAAATTAAACGCTGTGGGATTTTAACAAAGCCAGTCTTACCCAACAACAGCCCACCACCCTATCATAAGAACAAAATGAAACCCCCTCCCCATCTTCTCACCTTGGGGTCGATTTTCTTGAAGCTAGGATCCTCTTCATCCACCTCAAAATAGAGTTCAGAGGAGGTGACAGAAAGAGTGCCCTGGACTACAACAGAGGGGGCCACCAGCTGAGCTGGTGTGCTCAGGCTGACAGGACCTGCCAAAATGGAAAGGACAACCCATGTCAACTGAAGGCACATATTTCAGAACACCAAATTTGACCAGAAATCTTATTTTCTAGCTCTTACTTCGAATACCAGACTGCCTGCTAACTTCTATACTTACAGATTCCGTCTACTCATATCTCCTCTGAAAATGCAATCAGGATTCTCATACTAGGAGATTTACAACAGGCGGTTAATGATAATGGTAAACTAGGATGCAGTTATTTGACAGCTTTGGTCTAAACTCTAGGTAAGAAGGTGGCCCTGCTAAGTAAGTCCATCCACATTCCATTTAGAAAACAAGCCTCAGGCTATCAAACAACATGGAACAACAACTAGGAGCTGGGAAGATTCAATAGGCTTCCAAGGCCAGAGGTTAGCTTAGGGTTTTGGCTGAGGCATGGCTACAAAAAGACCACTAGCTTATTAGTGAAGTGGCAAATGTTAAACCATAATCTGTGATAAAGATTTTGTGCCAGGTTGACACAAAACCTCTTCCATAACAACCTCACTCCATGAAAGACTGGTAAAAATACTCCTTTTTCTAAGCGTTCTTTTCCACTGTTAAACATTGCTCAATGCTTCCAAATCTAATATTAGTGTAGTCCAGGGACTCTGGGAGTAAACAGCTGGAGGGTGGGTTTCCAAGTGAATGAATTTTTATTGGAATAATCAAATCTCCACAGGGCTTATCAAAGAGACAAATCAGACTGCTACTGCAAACAATAGATTCACTACAGATAGAACAGCACAGTTTGTCAGAGCAAAATCTAAAATAAGGACTAAAAATTATATGTATGTGTGTCTATAGAAATAAATGTAGAAAGAATTTGAAAGTCCATCTCAATTCCTTATTGTACAAATCCTATCGAAGAAGAGAACAGCAACAGAGAAGATTGGCACTGGAGTTCTGAATTAATATAGTGCCTATAAACAAGGTGTGCCTATTCAGGTAATCAATGGATGAATAAGTGTTTCAAAATTCAGATGAATTGACATTTCCATCGATTGTTAGAAGGGTGATGGTCCTTAATCTCACATCAATCTTAATGTGTGCCAGTAGGACAATGGAAGGGATGCTCTGCGGAGATCAGAGCAGGTTTTGCCCTCTATTCCCAATGTACAAATACATTGTGTTTGCAGATGGGCAGCAGATAGCTGCAGAACAGCCATGATTTCCCAAAGCTCATCCCTATAAATGGATGAAATAAGCAGCTATGTGTTCTTTTGCTGTCTCCTTTTGCCCTCTGTACATTAGCATGTAATCCCGAGAAGAAATAACATTTTTTCAATCACTCTCAGACATTCAATTATAGGGTAAGCAGACAGCTGCAGGAGCTAGGGCAGCCTAGGTCCTACAGAAGACCCCTGACAATTTCCACTTCATTTCTAACCCACACCACTTTATTAGTGTGGATTACTTCTTAATCCTATTGCCATTGTCAAGATTATATAATTAAACTCCCCTTTCACCTCTATTACTGTATGAATGTATTACTAGCAGCAAGAATAGAAGCAAAATAGAGGAGGAAATGGGCAAATGCACGTGAAAGAAAAGACAGAGGATATCAGCAGCCACCTGACTCTCCACTCTTCCCCTGAATCATTGCGCAGTAGACTCTAACTACCTGTGTATTTCTTCAGAGACAGGTTTCCAGGCACCAGAGAAGATAGCCACCCTTTGTTTCTGCTTTTCATTATCAAGCTGCATGGAGCAGGGGTTGCAGATCTGTTACCAAATGAGCGATTTCTAATATCTTTTCTCTTTAAAGTATCTGAATGGAACACTACATAATTTTCACCTACAGAAACTGGGGAATCTTCCCAACTTCCCTCCTTGAGGGACAGAGTCATAAGCATTAAAAGCCAGTTAAGGAATGACTAGAAATGCAGGCTAAACAAGAGAATTTTTCCCATAAGGGAAGTAAAACTGAGAATCTGCAGAGTACAAATCAAAATTGCTACATCAAGCAAAATATGTGAATCCTGCGAAAAGCCATGGCATTCTTGAAATAATTTTTGAGAGTGTTAAAGATATATGCAGTACATCCATTAAGACTTGTACAATATAGCTCATCTTCCTCCAAGCTTTATTTACAAGCAATTGGCAGAATTTTACTTACAGCCTCATTTTAGAGAGATTTGGTAACTCCCATGGGATGAGTAAAGCACTTTTGTTAACGCTGCTTTTACACTTCTTTCTTTTTCAGTGAAAATCATTCATAAAAGAAAAAGATGAGGAGGATAAGGAGACTGAGTAGAATAGAAAAATAGAGGAGGATCTGTAGAAGATAAGGGGAAAATGTTTGGAAGAACAGAAACAATCTCCAATTAATGTAATTGTGGGTGTAAGCCTGGGAGCCCTGGTGGTCACGGCTGAAAAAGTAAGTAATTAGATGTTTATTGTCCCAGAGCTAGCTGAAGTCCCTGCACAACCTCCGAATTTACCGGCAAGATTTTCTAAATCTTTCTCATCCACGGATGACAGAGTATCATCGTCGCCTTCCAGGAGGATCTCGTTTTCTGAGTTCTGATTTCCTAAAGCGTGACTCTTGATGGACTGTTTTCCTTTAGCAAGGATATCTTCATCTGCAGCTGAAATGAAAAGGAAACAAAGCTGTCCATCAGCTCTCTGAAGAGCACTTTGGCAGAGGGGTAGGGGCCAAGGTAAAGGTAGGTGGCCCACAATGGTTCATCGTTTACACACACACACACACACACACACACACACACAGTGGGGAAAGGCATGGGGTGGCATACACACTCGTTCTGACAAATGCGATTCCCCAACCTAGTGTAACGTTACCCTGAACAAGCACCCTAATCCCATTAAATCTGACCCCTGCACTGCTCACCAAACCATTTATTTACTTATATTTAAGCTAAGCGAGGGTTCAAAGGCAGCACTTCTTTAGGAAATTCGTTAGTAGGAAAAATCAGAAAACGTCGTTTGGGAAACACTGCTTATTCAACATTGAAAACTAGGAAAGGCTGATTCATTCTTCCGAATCATTTATCCCAACAAACATTCTGAATGGTTGGAGAGTGGCTGTGAAGGGGAGAGTCCAGAAGAAGGGTCAACGCTAGGAGGGAGGCGTGTACAGCCAATGAGGATTTAGCCTGGCCCCTGCAGCCAGATGTGACTGGGAAAGCGACAGCAGCTCCGTGAAGCTGCATTTTCTTCTTCCGCCATGCTCTCTCCCTCCTTCCTTCCTTCCTTCACATCGCCCTGGCCCACACTCCCCTACCCCTCCAAGCCCTTATACAAATATGCAAAAGCAAGGCAGTGTGGAAACTAAGTGGAGGCTCAAACAGCACCTCCTCTGCGTGTTTAAACTAAAGGGCTAAGGCACCCCGGGGGTAAACATAACAGAAAGACCTGGATGAGAGGCATCTGGGCAAAGGGCCTCATGCGGCCTGAACTGGAGCAGCCTGTGGAGAGCGGCAGCCAGCGCCAGACTCTCAAGCACTCAGAGGGAGGGAGGGAGGGAAAGGCAAGGCCAAGTCCAGGGTGAACAGGCAGCTCTGTGGAGCACCTATAGTCAACAGCATAACCAGAAAGCAGCATGGAGGTGCAAATGAAAGGAAAGCAAAAAAGCAGATACAAACTTTTGATTTATGATTTGTAAAAGCAACATGAGTATCTTTTCAGAACTGTATTTTTTTTTTTTAACTGGTGCCACATAGGGAAAGTTTAGAAATCCTCACTGTATTCCTGACATTGTGGGTTTTCGGCCAGGGAATCGCTGGGCAAAAAAGCACCTGATCCATCAGGCTGCAGCCATTGATATGGAAATTGGGTGGCCAGGCTTTGTGCTCCGCTGCAGTTCAGGCCTAGGCATCAGGCCCAAGCCCCAAAAGGATGAAGCCTTGGTTTGCACTAACATTGCCAACATTTATCTGAATAACTTATTTTAAATAGTTAAATTACATATTTGCTACCTGGTTAACTTGGCAGAGCAAAGCAGCTTTGGATTTAATTGGTACAGTTACAGATGAAAGATTTTTTACTTCATATTTATTGTCAACTCACCATGTTACCATTTATATTCAAAACTTATGGCACTACATAAAACAGTATAGGCATTTTCTATTAATTAAGTCATATGACGAAGTATTCTATATTTAGTTTTGAATACACTCTGTGGGTAAATAAAATCTTTATTCTAAACCCACATATAGTAGAATAAGCTACCTGACACGAGGGTCTCAATAAATATTTGAAAAGATTAATGTACCTAATTAAAATATATTTTTAAAAACAAAAACCATAAGGAAATATACCATTAATGGCAAATTTTTAGAGAACAGTATGTTTTTATACCATTCCTTAGTTTCCAATATTTACATTTTGTTACTCTATAGTCAGAAACACTGCCTTACTCCAAAGATCTTTTTCAATTTACTATCAACTTGCCTAAAAATAAAGTGGCCATTGAGAAATGCAAGAGGAAGCACCATATTATAGATCTTCAACAAGTAAATACATTCTCATTTGCTAGCTGGATTTTAGTATGGGATCATTATGCTACATTCTCTTCCTTTCCGTCATTTACAGTCCCTTATTCAAAGAGGAAATTCAAAGAGGCTTCAAAAAATCCAGGGAAAAATGGAATTGGAATTGAAAGGTAATACGCATTCAAACGAACTTGTGGAATCCCCTTTTATTCATTATAAGACTAATATTACACAGCACCTGCCATATGCCAGGAAGTGTTCAAAAAATTGTACATACGTAACTCTTGATTCACTTAAACTTTCTGCTGTTTGTTCATTTTAAGGTAAGAAAACAGACTCAGAGAGGTTATATAATTTGTTCAAGGTAACACAGCTCCTAACATTTGGGATCAGGATTTAAAAACATGCAGTTTGGTGCCAGAATCTGGCCTCTTACCCACTTTGCCATCCTAGCTCTTAGATATAAAAAAGGAAAAGAAAAAAACAACTACTACTTTACAAATATGAACATATTTACCAATTTGCTATTGATATTTATGTCCCCCACACTGCATCTTAAAAGCTCAACAGAATCATAATAAACAAGAATAAAAAATATTTGTTTCCAAATCTAAATTAGGTAAGCCTATAGCAAATATCTTAGAAACAACTAAATTTAACAATATGCTCATGTCTTTCTCTGATTACTGCCATAGATGTCCTAAATTACTCCAAGCTTAACTGAAATAAGAAAAAAAAACCTTAATATGCAAACATTTACAAACAAATAAGAGCTCTCTATGGTAAAATGTAATGATATAAAATAACTCAATAAATAAGTTCACATTCATTTAAATGACTACTGAAATACAATGTTATCCCTTTCAACTGAAATTCAAAAAATTTCAAATATGTTCCCATCTTACTGACTCATATTCTTAAAAAGTAACTTTTAAATTACATAAAAGTTTTAGAAAAAAATTTTATATTCTATAGGTATACACTATATGCATACAAACACCCACTTTAATTTATTTATTTACTTATTTTTACAAGCTCAGATTCTGGAATTGTTCAACTTCAACTGAAAAACCTCTTGTTATAGAAAATATGCAGCTTACTGATATTTAGAATGGTTTTCCTGTAATTAACTCCCCCTTGAGGATTTTAAGTTAGCAGCAGTAAAATTACCAACAGTACTCTAATACACACCACATGCGCTAGTGTTCAATTCTCAGTGGTCTAATAGCTTTCTGCTAAAGAACTTTTTTTTTTTTTTTTTCAAAATTAGAACAAAACTTTCCCAAGCATAAAATAGAAGATAATTATCATGTTTATGTGTGCTAAGGAAAAGATTATTTTTAACTTTTATTTGGCTTATACATCAACCATTGTAAACAAATATCAATTACTTGATATCTTCTATAAGTATACTCCACACCAGTCTAAAAGTTTTATTGGATGAAATAGGAACATATTCTTGTATGGTTTAGAGCTTGATTCAGATATTTTCTGGCTGATAAAATTATTACTAAACTAAACATGATTGTTTATATTTTTCATATCATTACTAACAGATTGCCTTTATCTAATCTCTCCTTTTATTCTGGCTTAATATCAATCTTAACTTAATAATTAACCTGCAATTATTACATAAAATTGGAGAAATCTGTCGACTGCTATTTTTAATACATGACTTTTGATTCTCGGAAGCTAAGAGTAATGAGAGGGCTGAGAGAGAAACTGGTCCTCAAAATGTAAAGATCAAGTTCTTTAGAGCCAGCTCTCTGCCTAAGTTGATTTATCAATCCAACACAGAGAATATTAAGTGAAACTAAAATAGGAAAGGAATTAGAGAAAACAGAAAACTCCTCTACCAATGATACTCAAATTTCCTTTCAACATATAGTGATCAGTAAACGAGAATTATCAACAGTTCTTGTTCTAATAAAAGTAACTTATATACTAAAAATTAGCTTTCTTTTTTTTTTAAAGATTACTACTACAATAAAAAAAGTCACTTCAAATGTACACAAAATAAACACAGGTATCTACTTGGTATGATGTGACATACGTAACTGTATTCAGAACAAGACACATAGAGAGAACCTTATAATCAATGCTTGTCCTAATCTTATTAATTCTCCAATTATATTTTATGCTAGTTCTGGAGGGTTCCAAGTCAAGAAAATTTACTCTAGAAAAATCAGTGAAATGACAAAGGATGATTAGGAGGATAAGCCAAGGGCATCTCTTACTGATCATAGATTCCTCCAAAATTTCAGATAGGGAACCCACCACACATTGACCCTAAAAAGGAAACCAACGGTACCTGGCATTATTGAATAAATGAAAGAATTGCATGATTTGGGATCTTTATCTGATCTGTCATTCTCCCAAAACCAAATGAGGAAACTGAATCATTCTATATACTTATAAGATACTTTTAAAGCTATGTTAATTCCTTCTCATATATTTCTATTAGCATGTACATTCTCTACAAAATAAAAATGTCTTGAATGCAATCGGATTCTACTACTAAACTGTTTTAGTACTTGAATTAAAACCAATCTTTCTACCATTTAAAACATTTTTCACATGGCTTTAATTCAAATATAAAATTCTCATTATATTTAACAATGAACATTAGAAGACCACAGAGCGCAAGGCTGAAAATCTGCAGTCAGTTTATCTGGGCTTTAGCCCTCTATCTACCAAGAATTACCTTGGTCCTTTGCTTCCTCAGTTTCCTTATCTGTAAAGAATAAAGTTAGACTAGACTTTGGCCTTATGTTTCTTTCAGATCTAAAAATGCTCTCACAATAAGTAACTAGCAAACTGGGCTCTGTGCATTAGGAGAATGCTACGAATCATTACAACTGATTTCTAATAAATTTTAAAACCATAAAATGGAAAGAAATGCCCTCAAGAATCAAATACCCGCCCATTGCTTGCTGCTGCTAATTTCCATAAAGAACATTTAATCATAAGAGGAAGTATTAATTTTAATTTAAAAATATGACTCAGTTTCTGCAAAGTTAAAGAAATCTCCCATTACAACATGACTTTTATAAATAACCACATTGGAGGGTCTCTGTTTGAAAAATTACCTAAAGCTCTTTTCCCCAAGCAAGTTAATGTGAACTTGGGAAGGGCAATTAAATTGTCAGAATTAAAAAATTTGTTTTTAACTAGAAGGTAGCCAGAAGTAGAGTCATGGGGCTGGTATTGATCGTCCAAACAGAGAACATCACTCTTCAGGTATTTACTCTGCCACCTTTACACCAGAGGCTTTCCTTCAAATCAAATCAAATCAATCTACGAAAAAGATGGCTTCTACTACTAAAATACATAACTAATCTCCAGGGTCATTTCTACTTAGATGTCTTCCTTTGATAATGATAACATAGTTCATGATGTTGTAAGATTTTGCATTAGTAAATATCCTGTCTCCTTAGTTAAATACATTATAAATAAAAGCAAGGTGTTACAAAAGAATATGAAACTGACATACTATCCTCAGGAATACCTATCTTAAAAATTTAAATTTAACACTGAAAGTATTTATTCATGTAAAATTCATAATTTCCATTGCTTTTTTATATTAATGGCTCTTTAATACATGTATTTTGATTAACTTTCTTTATGTTGCAAAAAGTATTTAAAGATGGAATTTCATGGTTAACAGAATTAAAGTAAATATCAATAATAAATGAATTTATTAAATAAAGTATGAAAAATTAAGCTCTTTGATTATAGACTATATTAGCAAAAGCTACAGTGACATTAAACAATACCATTGCACAATTTATGTATTGCTGCAGAATTACTTACTATTGCTTTATTATTTAAATAAAATATACAGTTTGATTAATTAGAGCTTGTATCTTTTTAAAAAATGTTATATTAAACATGATGCATCACCTTAATTGTAAGACTACTACTGAAGAATCTCCTGTACATTTGGATAGTTTTTTAAAGTATTTATTTCAGACTAATGTTATTATTTCTAATTTTTAGAGTGTTATATAAATATTAATCATTATAAGATTAATTATTTCTAATTTTTAGAGTGTTATAAATATTAATCATTATAAGATTAATGTAAAACAGGATAGAATTATGTAAAATGATTCTTTGTTTTGTTATTTTCATTTTAAAATGCACAATAAAACACAGATAGCCAACACTGTATTGACCTTTAAATTACTACTTACAGGAATAAGAGTAAAGTGTACTTCTGAACTAGTCAAAAAAGTGTTAAATGATGTAAAACACTGCTATTTTCATATCAAATATTACTGTAGATACTTAGCATAAAATGCTAATAATAAAATTATTTTAAAATGTAAAGTTCAATAATAAACTTAAAAATTAATCATCATTAGGAATCCTGTGACTCCTCAAAATAGTTACATGCACTATTTTTGATAAAATTACATATTAAATACTGAATTAGATCTACACTAATTTAAATTCAGTCACTAACATTTCTCTCAGAATTAAGAGTTTGCTTACGTGCAATTTCAGAAACAAGTCCTCCCCTTTCAGATGTAAGAGGGAAAATTTTTTATAAAAACGCTGTTATTGCCATTCATAGATCTCAAACTCACAACACACAGTTAAATGATAGCTTAGAAGACCGAAAAATTATTATTAAATTTAAAACTGTAAGTGTGCATGGGAATACCTGGTTGAAAAGGACAAAACTGCAAAAAGGCTGATTTTCTCAATGTAAGTGTAACAAATCAAAAACAAAAACAATAAAAGAAAAAGAAGAAAATATACAACGATACAGTAAGAGGGAAAAGAAAAACAAAATGTGACTATGGTAACCATGGTGGCATATCAAAAAGTAAAGGAAACCTAGAAGCAAAGTGGCCTAATTAATTCTACATCTTATTTCTCCTTCTCCACCTCCTATAGTTGAAGATGTAGGGCCCTGAGACTATTATTGCTTTTAGATCACTTTGTTATTGACTATTCTCTGTATGATCATTTATTTTAAAGGACTGATGTCACATTTGGTGTTGTATCTGATGACATATTGTGGACATTTTCTTCTAGAAATGGCTCTTTAAGGCTGAGTGCAAGAGGTTAAACTGCCTGACTGAGGCCAAACCTAAGATTACAGATTTTTAATATAAATTCTTAAATATCCTTATTGAATATCATCTAACACTTACATTAAGTTACACATCATGCACATACAAATTATGGTTTAATCATTAACTTCTGCATGTTAAGCTAATATTCTAAAAAAGCAAATAAAAACAATTTTTGCCTTGTTAAAAATAACCAATTTATACTTTGTAAAATAATATTAATTTTAACACAAGGAGGGGGATTTCTCCCTTAATCAGTGTAAGTTACTTGGTTTATAAAAATAGTAAAACAGCTACTATCAAAGAAATCATACTATCGAATCCAAAGGACCTTTTCAGTTTTTTCAATTTGCTTATCAGACTTCTGAATAAAGTGAATCACAGTCAGATGCATTGTAACAAAAAAAGAAAAACGTTTTGTTAAGCACTGATAACAAGATGATGCAGAATAGGAACATATGAAAATAATGTCTATTCTCTTCTTTCCCAAGCCATCAATCACAACCATCTACAAATCAAGGCTCAGAAAGTATACAGGCACTGGGACATTTATTACCATCTTCCCCACTTCATAATCTCATACTAAAATAGCATGGCTGGGGAAAAACCACGGACACGAAACAGAACCTAGAAACCTATTTGGTTTGTAAATGCTGTCTCTCTAATATTCATGGATTTAAGACAGGCTTCCAGGAATTATTTACTCAAAGCTTAATGTGTCACTTAAGAGGAGAAATAGTTTACCCTCATACTCTGAAACAAAAGGTCGTGTTAGGTAAGTTTTGTGTGTGCAACATAATGAACAAACACATTTGACACCATAATTTAATAGGACTCTGTACTAACTATAAAATAATTAACTACCCTTTCTTGGGTGAATAACTATGAAATGTGGATGTGGACCACTTTACAGTACCTTGGAATAAAGAAGTTATACTCTTCATTACCAAGCTACTGTACCTGCTGCTATTGGAAAGGAGTGGTTTATACACTGACCATGTTCCACGGCTGTTTTTAGTGTCGCTTCAGGATGTGTCGATCCTAGAGGGTTACGCACAAATCGTCGCCGGCGCCGCAAGTCATCTTCCCAGTAGTCAAGGCGCCAGAACTCACGAGGACGACTACAATGAAACAGAGAAGCCACATATGTTAGCAATTATCAAACAGCGTGGTAGCACTGAATTTCTGCATAAAGCTCTCCTTGTTTGCTCTGCCTTTTTTTTTTCCCTCCCCTTCCTCTTAATTCTCCCTCCATCTCACACTCCCCTTTCTGCAATCTTTAACTTAGGTATGTCCTTGAAAATAACAATATCACCTCCTAGTCTAAGGAACTCCTTTTCCTTTTCTTGGAAGGTGAAATGAGCACTAAATACATCATTTTGAAATGAATTGCTGACAGTGTGATCAGTTTCCCCACACTCTAGTGGCATGTGCTCTGATTTCAGCCTCATTTCAGCCTCAGCAGGGCACCTTTCTCTGTGGCTGCATTTATAAACCAGAATAGGGAAAAGGCTATTATAAATATGGTATAGCATTACCTATATTAATCAAAGTCTGTCCCCCTTCATTTTTCTTCCTAATTTGTGCCTTTTTGCACAAGGTCAGTAAATCATAGCATGAATTCTTGGTCCAGAAAGTGTTAACTTTAATGAATATCTCAGTTACATGGTTATGTATGTGATAATAAAATATTACTCTGTTTAGATGTGCAGGAATTTAATTAAAATAATCTCTTAAAATATTCATTACATTTAGCCCCTGAGGCTTAGAACAACACAAGAAAATGCATTTCTTTTCCATTTACTGTTTTTAAATAAACCATTCCTGTAGAGTGAAATAGCAATCTATTTTCAAGTAAATCAGACTGGATTTCTGTTTTATGTAGTCTGTTTTTATATTTAATTAAAAACTACATGCTATATGATGTGCAATAATTGCTATATCAAAAACATACTTTTGGAAATGTATTTTTTTAAAAAAAAGGTTAACTTAATTCAAGTTCTGCGATATTTTCCCCAATTACGTAGATCTTTTATATGGCAATATATAAATGTCAACTTTCTCTCTTGTTAACTAATAATGATCCAGCAGGCTGGAAAATATTTTATACAGAAAATAATAATACGAAGTTTTTTAGTTATAGTAAGAAAAAAATCTGCTGAATATATGTACTCACTAAAGTTACATAGTATGTTTCAATAATGAAATAAAAATCACTCATAATCAAAAATGCTGCAGGGATGACTAATACAAAATAAAATCTTACTTGTATTTCATGAACTAATAAAATTGTATCTGTCAGCTTTGATAAATTAGTAGTCTTGACCAACTGACAGTCCCAAAATACCCAAGTAAAAGTTATCATTATTTTGATGTTTCAAGATATTATCTTAAAAATAGGTAAGTATTTCTATCAATTAAAAGGTATCACAGGTTAATAAAACATAGACAACTATCGTATATTATTTAAATAATTATTTTCAACAAACAGTAGGAATCCAATGCTGTTTTCTGAGAAGACTGAAGGGCCAATCAGAACATCAAACATTTCCTTTGTGGATTTTGGTAATGCAGGAAGCGGAGGAGAGACAAAATAATCAAAATGGACTTCAAAAATTATGTAAGAGTTTGTCTTCAAAACAGAAAATTTAAAAGCCCCCCCATTCTTTTAATTTGCTTTTCCTCATAATTTGCAATCTAAATTTTAAATAAAAACCAACACTATAGTATAAGTTAAAGATAAATAAGAAAAAACTACAGAATACACATATAAGTAAAAGATAACAGTTGTTTGAACTCAGTTCATAAAATAAAATTCTCCTTAGGTGAGAAGGAAAAAGGCAACACACAGATGGCGGCGAGTACAGCTTTGATAGTCATGGAGCTTGGATAGGTACTTCATCATTCTGCCTACCTACATTTATCTGTTAAAATTATTATCAAATATCAGCCAGGATGCAGTCGTGAATCACAGGCTGCTCCTCGTCTTCAGGGGAATGATACAATGAGGGTCTATTCATCAGTGCAGCAATCGGCACAAGTAATTAGTTCCCTAGACTGAGATCTCCTACAAAGCCTATTTCAGTCAGCACCACAAACATATGACGATGTAAAGCTAATGAAAGCTGCTAAAATTTGTTAACCTTTTATGCCATCAATCCTTTTAATACTCTGTGCTTCAATATTATGCAAAGGTGGTAAATTATTAATTTGCCATTCATCCATCCTTCTACATTTCGACTCAAACAACGTCATTCTTCTTGATAAGAATTAAAATTATAAGAGATGTTAAACAGCTATGATAAAATTATCAATAATTAGGCAACAATAGATTCTACTATTATGCAAGTCAAATACAATGGTTATTAAAGCATGTGCCCAATACTTTTTATTATTCAGCAGTAAAACCACAGTAATTATAAAATCACACAGAAATTATCACGTAACTCAAAGCTAGTATCTATAAGAATAAAAGCCAAAATTAGAAGGAAACAGAACTATAACATTTATTTTTGTATTCACTGACATTAACAAAATTTAAATGGCCAAAATGGGATGTCTGGCTGAAACAAAAACACTAATACATCCAGAATTGAGAACTAGTTCACAGTAGAAAGTATTTTAAGTTTCATTTATGTTAACTATCTGTATTCTGTCTTCATATATGAATTCTATCAAAAAACTTAAAGATACTTGGATGAATAAAATCCAAAGAGAATAAAGAACTTTATATCTCAATATTACAATATTTACAAGCTCCTGAAGCTATATCACTTGAAGACCATCTCCTCAACACAATCCTGCTACAACAATTAAAAATAATTTGAATACAAAGCAAATTCACTTATTTTGGGTCACATATCTAGAGAGGATTATAAAAATCACCTAAAGAGGCAAACAGTTCTAAAAAAATGTCTTTTGAATCTTTTCGTATAAAGCACTGCTCCAGGTGATTTAGAATACAAAGCCCTGAAGGCATTCACTTATGACTGAACAGCTAGCTATTAGTTTCATTTGAAAAAACAGCATTTATCATCCACTTTCTGATTGTGACAGTAAAACATATTCTTTGGAGGAAAAACAAAAATCACACCCCTCCCCTCTTTTTTTTTTTCAGATGAGGGCAATTACAAGCATGTTTAAAGTCCTTTACAAAGTAACAGACCTGGATCCAAAAGTCCACTGTTTTCTCTTCCTAACTCTGCTCCCCTCCCATATGTACCCTGAATATACAGCTTTACCACCAAAACATACAGACACTTTGTCATTTTAGAACAGTTTTTTGTTTGCTTATTTTTAATATATTTATTTATTTAAAAGGCAGAGTGACAGGGAGACAGGATGACCCCACAATTGCCAAGGTTTGGATCAGGCCTAAGCCTAGAGTCAACAACTCTCTAGGTCTCCTATGGTGGTGGTAGGCACTCAAATACTTGAGAATTCATCTGCTGCTTCCTAGGCACATGAACAGGAAGCTGGATGGGAAGCAGAATAGCCAGGACTCAACCAACACACCCCAGTACAGGATGTGGGGGTCGCAAGTGGTAACTTAACACACTGCTCCATGATGCCTGCCCCTTTAGGACAGCTTTATCAAGAGGAATGTATAGGTTTTGATAATCAATTTACCATAAGTTTTGATCATCCATTTAAATACTTCACTCTCACTTAAGAAATATTGTTCCCCCATCTCAACTCCAACAGCCTCATTTATGGGAAAGATAAGAAACTGGTATATTTAGCATAGGGATCCAACTGTCTTAACAGTAAGTTATAGACTAACTGAAGTGATCAGAAAAATTAAAAAGACTTCAAGTGTTCAGAAGCAGATAGTTGATCAAATACAAGCAAGGAAAAGATAAAAAAAAAACACTTAATTTTAAACTTCAGAAATCTATATATCTATATCACTCTATACCTGTATGTTTATATATTTGCATCCTGTCAAAAAAAAGAAAAGAAAAGAATGGTACTAGTATCTCCTGACACCACATTCTATATTCATTTCCAGTAAGTTCCCAAAAAGTATTCAAATTAAGGATGTAAGCCTAGGTTCTGTACGATCTGGAAATATTTACTATTTCCTTTAGAAGACATGATGCCTTCTCCATAAATACACTGCACTGAGGTGTCTTTTTAGAACACAATCTCCAAGACTAAAATCTTTCATTATAGGGATACAAGTGTCTTTAAAAAGTTGTGCATACTATCAAATGTTCTAATCTTTCTAATTTCTTTAATTTTTATTTTTCCACTCTTTTGCCTAATTTCAAAGCTTGAGGATAAAATTACAAGGTAAGTCTAGTGGACTTTTCCATGGATACGTCATGTAATTATCTTTCTACTTTTTAAAAACATACACTGATGAGTTCGTATACACACACCTTTAATATATCATCGCAACCTACATAAAATATAAAAAATGCCATTTTAATATACTGAACATATATTTTTTGTTTTATAGACAGATTGTTGCAATCTTAGAAGGAAAGATAACTCAAGCATCAACAGACAGGTACACTGTGATTAGTGGGATGATTAGGTAAAACAAATGACTAAGAATGAACCAAACAGTAAGCAGCTGGACAAAGTTGTAGTACTAGAGAATCAATAAATAAGGTAAGATTCACATTCTTTTTATAATAGTTGAATGATGCAATGTAAATAATCTATTATTTTCAAATGTAAACTATAATCATTTTTAAAGTTTAGTTTTCTTCAAAGAAAATATGGCAAGACAATTAACATTGTATGGACAGAATCTCTAACATAAAATATTTTCTTTTTTTTTTTATTTATTTATTTGAAAGTCAGAGTTACACAGAGAGAGGAGAGGCAGGGAGGGGGTGGTCTTCCATCTGCTGGTTCACTCCCCAATTGGCCTCATCAGCCAAAGCTGCACCAATCTGAAGCCGGGAGTCAGGAGCTTCTTCGGGTCTCCCATGTGGATGCAGGGCCCAAGGACTTGAGCCATCTTCTATTGCTTTCCCAGGCCATAGCAGAAATCTGGATGGGATGTGGAGCAGCTGGGACTCAAACTGGCTCCCATATGGGATACCTGTGCTTTAGGCCAGGGTGTTAACCTGCTGCGCCAGAGCGCGGGCCCCATAAAATATTTTCT